TCCTGTCTCGCTTCTCCACAGTCCTCCCGTGTCCGGCGGCTCCCTCTGGCACCCTGTCTGGTCTCTACCTCCCCTCGTTCTCTACGAACCTGGTGAGTGGTGCTGACCTACAGGATGCGGGTGTACACCAGTTCACTCCTGCGCGTCAGCGGGTGACGCACTGTACAGAGGCTCGCACAGGCCGACACCTGGCTACGTTTACCCGTCAGCCGGGGTCGAGCCTGTACACACTGACCACTGCGTCTCCTCCCGTTACTGAGTCTGGTAGAGTCGCTTCGTCGGGTCAGGTGTTTGCTGCTGCGTCCAGGTCTGGTCCTGAGTCTGCCCCCTGTTCTTGTCGTCTCCTGTCTCACGAGACTCTTCTCTGGCACCACCGTCTTGGTCACCCCTCTCTGCTTCGGCTCAGAGGCATGGCCTCCCGTCTTCTAGTGTCTGGTCTCCCCCGGTCCCTCCCTCCCCTTCCTCAGGGCCCTGGCCCTACCTGTGTCCCCTGTGTCGAGGGGCGCCAGCGTGCTGCCCCTCACTCCTCCCAGTTTCCTCCGACAGAGGCCCCGTTGCAGACGCTCCACATGGACGTGTGGGGCCCAGCCCGCGTCCGTGGGCAGGGTCACGAGCGCTACTTCCTGCTCGTTGTTGACGACTACTCGCGTTACACCGCAGTCTTCCCCTTGCGCGGCAAGGGTGATGTCACTGAGGTGCTGATCGACTGGATCCGCGCAGCTCGTCTCCAACTCAGGCAGAGCTTTGGCTCCGACTTTCCTGTTCTGCGTCTGCACTCGGACAGAGGCGGAGAGTTCTCCTCTGGCCTTCTGCGAGCCTACTGTCGTGCACGAGGCATCCGTCAGACCTTCACGCTCCCGGACTCCCCGCAGCAAAATGGGATTGCTGAGCGCCGCATTGGCATGGTCATGGACGTCGCTCGTACGTCTATGATGCATGCGGCTGCCCCCCATTTTCTGTGGCCGTTTGCGGTGAGGTACGCGGCACGTCAGATCAACCTTCACCCCAGGGTCTCCAGGCCGGAGACCTCCCCAGCCTTGCTGTGGACCGGGAAGGTGGGCGATGCGTCGGCGTTCCGGGTCTGGGGATCTCGGGCGTTTGTCCGCGACTTGTCTGCGGACAAACTGTCCCCTCGTGCTGCTCCTTGCGTCTTCCTGGGGTTCCCCCCAGACGCGCCTGGGTGGCAGTTCTACCACCCCACCTCTCGCCGTGTTCTGTCCTCTCAGGACGTCACGTTCGACGAGTCGGTACCCTACTACCGCCTCTTCCCCTACCGCACTCCGTCCCCCCCCCCGCCCCCGCTCTTCCTTGTACCAGGTCCCCCCCCGGTAGACCCCCTCCCCCCTCAGGGTCCTGCCCCTTCAGGTGTGTCCCAGGTAGACGCAGTCGAGCCTGTCGAGGTCACTGGTGACTCTGGTGCTGCTGGGGGTGCTGAGCCTGGGGGTGCTGGGCCTGGGGGTGCTGGGCCTGGGGGTGCTGAGCCTGGGGGTGCTGAGTCTGGGGGTGCTGAGTCTGGGGGTGCTGAGCCTGGGGGTGCTGAGCCTGGGGGTGCTGAGCCTGGGGGTGCTGAGCCTGGGGGTGCTGAGTGTGGGGGTGCTACGCCTGGGGGTGCTTTGCCTGGGGGTGCTGGACCTGGGAGTGCTGCGCCTGGAGGTCCTCCGCCTCGAGTTTCTACGCGTGCTTTGTCTCGCCGGGAGCCACTCTCTCCACAGGAGCTGCGCGAGTGGTTTGCCCGGCGCTGGAGCCGTGCTGCTGGTGCTGGAGGTTCGTCGGCTACTGAGGGTGCTGCTGTTGCGGGTCCCGGAGGTGCTCGTACTGGGAGTACTGGAGCTGCTGGGCCTGCGGGTTCGACTGGAGCTGGTGCTGCTGAGGGTGTTGTCGCTGAGACTACCACTGGCGGTCCTGCTGGGGGTGCTCCTGGTGTTGCTCGAGGTTCTGGAGCTACTGGAGGTGCTGCTGGAGCGGGTGCTCCTGCTGGGGGTACTGGTGCTGTCCCTGCTGTTTCTGGCGTAGCTACGCGGCCTCGACCGTACTTTGTTCCACTCCTGCAGCAGGTTCTTGGTCTTCCGCCCTCTCCTGGTCCTCCTCCTCTCTTGGAGGGTCCACAGCCTGTCCCGTCGCGGTCACTGCTACAGCCTACCTCCCCTTTGCCTGCTCCTTCTCCCTACACTGGTCCTACTGGAGGTCTTACTGAGCGTCGTGAGCCTGCGTCTCGCCCTGCGTCGCCTGTCCGTGCTGCTCGCGCTAGTGGTCGTGGTTCGCGTCAGCGTCCTCCTCCTGTCCCTGGCACGCACAGGATGTCTCTGCGTCCGTCTACTGCTCCTCTGCGTGCCCCTTTGCCTTCTCCTCCTGAGTCCTCTATTCCTGCTCTTCCCGACCCTGCGTCGGACTCTCTTCGTGCTGCCAGTCCTACTGTCACGCGTCTACTTGCTACTGTCGTCACTGACCCTTCCTTCGAGTCTACTGCTGCGTCTGCCCTAGTTACTGAGCTCGTCGACTTTGCTGCTCGCTGTCGCCTAGACTACGCTGCTAGTCTTGTCGCTGAGTCTGGGTCTGCCTGTCCTCCGTCAGTCGGGGGTGAGTGTGCCCTTGGCACGGACGTCCTTGAGGACAGGCAGGAGGAGTTCCAGTGTCTGGCAGCTACTTCACCTCATCTCGTGTCCGTACTGCTTACCCCTGAGGGAGACCCGGATGCACTTGACATCCCGACTCCGCGCTCTTACGCGGAGGCGATAGAGGGTCCCTACTCCTCTCAGTGGCAGGCAGCTATGGATGCAGAGATGGCTTCCTGGAAGTCCACAGGCACCTACGTTGACGCTGTCCCCCCTCTTGGGGCGAACATCGTCAGTGGCATGTGGATCTTCAGGGTGCAGCGGCCGCCGGGTTCTCCGCCTGTCTTCAAGGCACGTTACGTGGCTCGTGGCTTCAGTCAGCGACAGGGAGTTGACTACTTTCAGACCTTCTCCCCCACCCCGAAGATGACCACTCTTCGGGTGCTGCTACACGTTGCTGCTCACCGTGACTACGAGCTGCACTCTCTCGACTTCAGCACTGCTTTCTTGCAGGGCAGCCTGCACGAGGAGATCTGGCTGCGCCGCCCACTTGGCTTCACTGGGTCTTTCCCTCCTGGTACCCAGTGGAGTCTCCGGCGTCCAGTCTACGGTCTCCGCCAGGCGCCACGTGAGTGGCACGACACACTGAGGACTACGCTTGCGGCTCTTGGGTTTGCTCCTTCTACTGCCGACCCGTCGCTGTTTCTACGCACCGACACCTCTCTGCCGCCGTTCTACATCCTCGTGTACGTCGACGACTTGGTCTTTGCCACAGCTGACACTGCTGGACTCGCCCACGTGAAGTCCGAGCTGCAGAAGAGACACACGTGCACAGACCTGGGTGAACTGCGCAGCTACCTTGGCTTGCAGATCACCCGGGACAGAGCACGCCGCACCATTACCCTGACTCAGTCACACATGGTGCAGCAGGTCCTTCAGCGCTTCGGCTTCACGTACTCCTCGCCTCAGGCCACTCCTCTGCCTACTCGCCACTCACTCTCAGCTCTGCCTTCGGATGAGTCAGTAGAGTCGAGTGGCCCGTATCCAGAGCTTGTTGGCTGCCTCATGTACCTGATGACCTGCACACGACCTGACCTTGCATACCCTCTTAGCATTCTTGCACGCTATGTTGCTCCTGGGAGACACCGACCAGAGCACATGGCTGCAGCGAAGAGGGTGTTGCGATACTTGTGCAGTACGTCGGGCATGGGACTAGTGCTTGGAGGGCGGAGTCCAGTGGTCCTCACTGGGCACGCGGACGCTTCTTGGGCTGACGACCAGGCTACGCAGCGGTCGTCGCAGGGTTACACCTTCAGTCTTGGTTCCGGCTCTGTCTCGTGGCGAGCTACTCGCTCGTCCTCTGTTCTCGGCTCCAGTTGTGAGGCTGAGATCTACGCCGGGGCCATGGCTGCACAGGAGCTTCGCTGGCTCACCTACCTGCTGACTGACCTTGGAGAGCCGCCTCGTTCTCCTCCAGTGCTGTACGTAGACAACAAGGCCATGCTGGCCTTGTGTCGAGAGCAGCGCTTGGAGCACAGAACGAAGCACATTGCTCTCCGTTACTTTCTTGCTCGTGAGCTGCAGCAGCGTGGTCAGTTGCGACTTGCGTACGTGGCCTCTCAGGCCAACACTGCTGATGTGTTCACCAAGGCACTTGCGCCTTGTGACCATCAGCGCTTCTGCACTCAGCTGGGTCTTGTACCTGTCTTGCCTCACTTGCTCTCCTCTTGACCTTACTTGTACTGTCACATATATATACCTGCTCTTGCTTGTCTAGCTCTATATATATATGTGTACTCCTGCATGTGAACTGGCCTTGTGGCCTTGTCGTTGTGCTCGGACTGTGTGGTGACGTTGTGATCCACCCTGAGCTTGCTCTGCTTTGCTTGACTGGTCTTGTGACCCCTTGTTCTCCCCCACTTTGCCTATGGGGGTGTGTCAGAACATTATATAGCTTATGCTGTTGTGTAGGCTATAGTGGGGTATCCCATAGGGGGTACAACCCAATTAGGGTTTTCCATATGTACTCACCTCATTCATAGTTCATTCATCCTCGTTCTTCATTCTTCTCACATATCGTTGCACCGATTTGACCTGTATTGCGCACGGACGTTTGTATACCTATCGAAATCAGATGCAAATGATCTCAAAGCCGGACAGTCTCACGTAGATACATCGTAGATGCTACTAAATATATGAATTTCTATTGCATACCTCTAAGAATGTTGGAGATTATTTTATATGGACAGGAAGACATGATATAATAACTGAATGCAGCATTCTCCAAAGCCGTAATCAAGTAAGCATATTCCACTATTTCAAAAATGATTTGATCACGGTTATTTTTAGTAACGTTTATGTTTCACATTCAATGCTTTTCAATATCATGTACTTGTATTTCAACATTTTGATCGCCAACACAGCAGTTCAGTACGACACCCAGAGCCAATGAACAGTCGTGTCCAGTTCCAGAGGTTTCCCGAGGCTGAAATATGCGGTCGAAGCTGCCTGCCTAGCTGCTCAACCAATCGGGATGTTTCCGTAGCTGCCAACAAAGCTGCCCAAGCAGTTTCGAGAATTCCGAAGCTGCTTGGGCGGAAATTGTTTTGACGCGACGCGTGGAAAGTATCTTTCCCCGCTTAGTTCATCCTGTTACTTCAAACATACGCCCCGAAATCATACTTTCTGGGGGGGGGGGGGGTGGGGGGGGGGGGCATTTTTGGGATGGCAGCGATAGGCGCGAGTGGCGATGCGTGCAGCGGCAGGGCGCGAGTGGCGACGCGCGCAGCGGCAGGCATGAGCGGCGACGAGCGCAGCGGCAGGCGCGAGCGGGGGGGGGGGGGGGGGGGGTGCCAGAGGCCTGCGGAGGGCGCGGAGAAGAGAGGGTGTAATGGGGTGGGGGGGCAGAGGAGAGGGGGGGGTGAGAGAGTGTTCAGAAAAGTATAAGAGCAGTCCTCTCTCTGTGCTTCCTCCCTCACACCCTCCGATGCTCCTGCGCCGTTTTCCACGTCATCCCGGGCCTCGCTGAAGCGCCAAAAAGTGTGGTGCAGTACGGTGTGGTGCGGTGGTGGGAGCGTGGCAGCCATGTATGTGGCGCGACAGCAGGAGGTGGTGCGGCGGCTCTCAGGGCCATTCGTCAGGTGCGTCTGTGCGGTTCTGTGTGGTGCTGTGCGCTGTGTATTGTGCGGTGTGGTGCAGCGCAGTGCGGTGCAGTGGTGTGATCCTGGCAGGCGCGTACATGCATGCAGGAGGTGGTGCGGCGGGTTTCGGGTTTATGCGAGGCAGAATCACGTAAGCTCAGTGTATGCTCTCCGCACTCACCCCATGAAGCACTCGCTCCAACCCAACTCGCCCTGCCCCCCTCGCTTCTCGCTCACACTCCTCTCTTCCCATTCTTTCCCATCCCTTTTTTTGTCTCCTTTCCGACCCATCTCCCCTCCCCCTCCTCCTACCCCTCCCTCTCCCCTTCGTCCTCGTCCCGCTCTGCAGCAGCATCAGGGTCACCCCCTCCGCCCGTGCAGAGGAAAGGGGAAGAGTGGATGATATAAGGGACAAGGACGGGGGGGCTGGGGAAGGAGGGAGAGGTGAGGCGAAGGGAGGGAGAGATGAAGGAGGAGGAAGAAGGGGTAACGGTGAAGGGGGGCGAGGTTGGGGCGAAGGGGGAAGACCCCTCTGACTGCGCTCTAGAGCAAGTATCATTGCTCTTGTTGTCTGACCACCGCTACCAGTTGCAAGTTGCAGACGAGATTTTTGGTGATTTTTATGAATCCATCACCCTTACTTTTCCGACGTATAACCCCTGCTGCTACCACAGATGGTTGAAACATCGGTGGTGGGTGATTCACTTGTCCCTCCCACCTCCCTCCCTACCTCCTTGCTCCCTCCCTCCTCTCTCCCTTCCACCACTACCTCTCGCCACTTCTCCCACTCCTCTGCTCCATTCCCCTCCCTTGCCACCTCTCCCACTCCTCCGCCTCGTTCAACACCACGCCTGCCTCCCACCTGTTGCGATTCCCAGCGTCAAAGTGTATGGACAGCACGCCTCTTCCCCTCTCATGCTCAGCGGGGATGGATTTTCAGTGGACTCAACAGTCATCCTCCCTCCCTCTCCTCGCTCCCTCCATCCCACCTCTCTCACTCCTTTCCCCCAATCCCCACTGCGCATGCATCCCTGCCTCTGCCCCGTTTCCCACCATGCCTCCACCTCCCTCCCCCCACCTCCCCCTCGCCACCTCTTCGATCCTCTGCCCCATTCCCCACCATGCCTCCCGCCTTTTCCTTCCACCTCTTCCTCTCGCCCCCCCCTCACCACCTCTCCCACTCCTCTCCCCCAATTCCCACCATTCATTCTTCCCATAACAGGGCCTGCAACCCGTCGCGATTCCCGGTGTCAGTGTTCAACTTTTAGTGAGCCACAATACGTGCTCCTGGATCTGCCAATGCGTGTTGCCTGCATTCCTCTGCCCCATTCCCCACCATCCATGCTTCTCTGATACAGGGCCTGCCACCCGTCGCGATTCCCGATGTCAATGTGGAAAATTCGGATGATCTTTTGCCTCTGGGCCACGTGTCAGCTGTAAGTGTGTGCCACGTGTCAGTGGTGAGGTGTGCCAGCCAGGTGTCAGTGTTAAAGCTCAGGGTACGGCGAATACCACTTGACTAGCCACTGTACCAGGTACCACTGCAAGCAAAGTGTACACAAGTGGGCCGAGTAAGATGGTTGAAGCTTCAATAGCTGGTCAAAGCTTTCTCAATTGAACTCCATGACACGATTTTCCAGCTGCCACAAAGACAAGTGCTGGTGAGTCTTGTTTCTTCCGGCTAATTTTCACACAGTTGGTTGATTCTTCAGTGGTTATCAAAACATGGCGAGCTTTGAAGTTACTTGAAACCAAGGTAAAAAAATACGGTCGTATTTTTGAAATTGCTCTACGATTTCTCACAGGAGCCTATTATAAGAAACTGTATAAAATGGTAGCATTTCAAAAATACAACCGTACTTTTGATCCTTGCTTGAAACACTCGAGGGGCGATTCAGACAATCAACCATGGCTTGCAGAAAAGAAGATTCAGAGTCATTTCTTCTAGCTTTCATGCTACAAAGTTCAACTCCCTCTTTTCTCCCACTGCTCCTTCCTTATCGCACATCTGACCCCTCTGCAACCTCTTTTCTTCCACTATATAGTCCGACCCCTCTTTACTTCCACTCCTGTCTGATGCGTCACCCTTTTTTTTCCTGCATATTTCAACTCTTTTGTTCCACAGATTGTTGACACATCAGTGGTGGTTCAAGCAGACCCCTCTTCCAGAGATGTAGAGGATTTTTTTAGGCGCCTAAAAGAAAAACCCTTTTTCCAGGGCTCTAGAGGATGAGATATGTGGTGCCTGTCGGGTTGAGTTGGGTGTTGTGGATGAGATTTTCGGGCCAGTAAATGCAGCGCTGTACCACGTGCAATTCATTCGCTTCTTTTCCCCACGTGTAATCCCTCTTCTTTCACTCGCCACAGATTGTTCAAGCAGACCCTTCTTTCACTCGACATCGGTGGTGGTTCAAGCAGACCCTTCTGCGCGCGCTCTATAGGAGGTAAAGGTGTAAAAGCGAATACGGTTTTGAATACGGTTTCTTATACGGATAGTTCCTGAGTAGTTGGCTATTTCGTATTTGGCCGAATAGTTATATGCATACGAATACGGATACGGTTCGAATATTAGAATTCTAGGTGAATACGAAACTGAATACGAGTAGTCGATGTTTTTATGAATATATAGTATTTGCGAATTTCCAGCACCTTCAAACCAAGTACACTAAAAAAAACATGACTCCACACCGTCCCCCATCCAGCCTGAACCCTCCACTCCCCTTCCTATCCTCTCCATTGGCAATGCCCCTCCATCTTCCTATTTGCTTGCTTGTAAACTTCTATAGGAAATCAACCAAGGTTGGCTCTTAACCCATTCGTTTCAGGTGTAGCGTGTTTTGGGTTCGTACGGTAGATGTTTTGTTCCCTTTAAAACGTTTGTTACTGTAACAGTTGACACTCTTTCTATAGATTCAGACCATAACAACAATTGTGTCCGAATAGCGCAATGATCAGGAATTCTGTGTGAATGCTCTGCAATAAACCTGCAAGCGCGGGTTCGATACTTGGAAAGTACATGTCTTTGTTAGGTACCCCCAGTTTTTGTGTCTGGAAACAATGAATTCCTGAATCTGAGTTCCACCAAAAACTACTATAAAAATCAAAAACCAATTCTCTGTAAACAGGTACAATCCCTGAACATTTGATTGTGAACAAGGTGGAATAGTAAATAAGCCTGGTTTAGGCACGCGTTTTACCCCTCTCCCAAGTCATAACATGATCCCTTCCTCTAATTGATACTACCGTTTTAGCACAAAGCACAGGCCCCATGCACTATTGACTTTGACGTAAGTGCAGTTTACTTCACGTTGGAATGTCTTCCATTCCACACTACCACCAATGTTCACATGAGTATATTCACGGTTTTGTTTGTGGCTGGTTTTCTGTTTTTATCCATAACGCTAACCATGATGGCAAGGGTGTGCTTTGACACTACAATGTCACCCTCATCTGTTTTGATCACACACTACTAGAATCCTCATTCACATGAATACTGAAACGTAATGTAATTCTCCCTATTTGAATAGCACGGTGGACAACCTAGAAACAAATCTTATTGCATCAAGAACTACCACTAGGGTCAACATAGAAGAGACAATACCACCTCTAACTTTCTACCTATGAAAGAAAGATCTAAACATCGATGATGCTCCACCACTACTACTCATCAACTTCCTCCTCATCCTCCAACGCGTGCCATGACCTAAGGCACATGCATGCACGCATTGTCTCCGAACTTAAACTATGCCGAAAATCGGTCATCATGTGCCTCGCTAAAGAAAAGGCACGCTCCGAGTCCGCGGATGTGCCCGGAATAGCCAAGTAATCGCGAGCCATGCGTGCCACGATCAGGTACTTTTGTGCATGGAGGATCCACCACTCCTTGAAAGACCCCATCGATCCTTTCTTCGTCACCACCCTCTCCTCCCGAAGATATCATTCGAGCTCGTTGGAGTCCTTTTCGGATTCCCCGTCTCCTTGCACATTGAAAATCCCACCGAGAAATGAGGATGGAGTTTCGGATTCTTCACTCGTGGGCGCACTCACGGTCGAGCTCTCTCCCATTTGTTCATCACCACCCGAAGCATTCACATACTCTTTGTATGCATTCTCCATGGTTGCTCCAATCGTGTCCTCACTCACATGTCTGTTACCTTCCTTTGCTCCCGCGGCATAGTACGCACGATTGAAGTGTGGGTCTAGCACGGTTGCAATCGTGTACTCCTCCGAAGATCGGTTGTAGTACTTCTCCAACTTTGCCAACCCATCCTTGGATGGCCCCGCAAATTCCCCTTTCTTTTTTATGGTGGACTCCAAGGTGTCCATAAGAGAATTCATCATGGGTATGCACAATGATACCGTGACATAGCTTGATGCTTCCAAGATTCTTGTCACTTCGGCAAAAGGGAAGAGAATGCCCTCAAGCGCCTCAAGAGCCTTCCATTCATCATCCATCATGCGGAATTGAGATTCTACCTCCTCACCCTCCTCCACAAGGTATGAATTGATTGCCACCTTCACCACAAACCCTCTCTTCATCATCGCATGCCCACTTGACCATCGAGTTGGAGTGTCTTGGGAAATGGTTGTGATTTTGCCCAACCCCTTCTCTTTGCACTTGTCCCCGAACTTCTCATGCCGTTGTGCCGAACCGTTGATGTGCTTAGCAAATGCCCGAATCTTTTGCAAAGCACCAACAACCTTTGGTGAGGCCATGATTGCCTCCACCACAAGGTTAACCACATGTGCGAAACACAACACGTGGATATCCTTCGTGAGGTTCTTCTCCTCCTTGAGAAGAGTGAGGAAACGCTCATTGTTACTCGCATTGTCTAGAGTCATACCCATGACCTTCTCTCCGAGCCCCCATTCTTCAAAAACCGATTCAACAAAAGCTTTTTTTATTGCCTCTCCCGTATGAGAACCCTCCATGCGAACAAAATCCAACAACACTTTTTTTTTCTCAAACTTTTCATCAACCCAATGGACGGTCAAAGCCATGAAGGCTTGAAGGTTAGGAGCTGTCCATATGTCACATGTGAACGACAACTTTGAAGATATGGCTCCCAAACGCGCTTTGAGCTTGTTCACGTACGATTCGTACGTAGCATGTATGTCGTTCGTCACGGTCACCCGTGAAGGCATGTTCACCAACGGATTTAGGAGTTTCGCCCATGCTTTCAACTCCTTGCACTCGATGCCGCGAAACGACATTGTCCCCTTCACACAAATCCGCACCAATCTGCGCCAATGCTCCTCGTCCGAGTACGGGGACGTCTTCGAAAGGCTCCTTGCGATGTCACCTTGCGAGGATCCGCCGCGTGCCTTCTTGTTTATAGAAGGCGTTGTCTCCCACATCTTTGGATGACATCCTTTGACCTGGTTTAACATTCCACTTGTGGTTGAACTCTTGCTGCATTTAATGATCGAGGTGATACGAGGGGCGCATAGAAGACACTTTGCCTTGGCACCTTCAATTTCTTCAAAAAACTCCCAAATTGGAGCGGTTTTCCTCTTCTCCCGACTCTTCTTGCCCAAATCAGCACCGCCGTCGACTGGATTTTGACTCTTCTCAGCCGAATCATGCACTACAGCTCCAACTACGGAAGACATGGTAGGATTATTCGTTTCCATAGACTTGAGCCGAAACAGATGAACTTCTAGTTAAATGACAATATGTACGAAGATTAAACTGTGACGGTAATATCTAACTGATCATATAGTGGGAACGTCTTCAACTATGCAAGATATGGGGAGATCATGAGCCTAAACGGGTAGATAGAGCTCTCTGGAATGTGCCTGTGAAGATTGATGTCGAGTGAATTTCCACGGTTGGAATCAGGAGTCTGCTCTCTGGAATGAGTATACTCAAATCTACGTAGAGAGTATCAAACCTTCACGTGTTGGCAAACGAACCGCGTTGGTGTAAGCCAAATTCGTTTTGGGTGGTTTACAAATTTTGTTTCCAAAAGCGCGAAAAAATCCCACTCAATTACGTAAAAGATTCCAACCACCACGAGACCCAGTGATGGGATGTCTAGTCAGAGAATTGCACGACACTACTGTATCATGCTTACATCAGATTCCCACCGTGGGTAAGATTGGAAAGTACAGTCAGAGATTTTCACGACACGACTCTTTCATTCTGACATGAGATTGCCACACTTGATTTTCGCGACACGGAACTCTCGCATTCTCAGTTGACGTGTCTAAACCTATATGCCGTGTCACCAGACGTGTACGACGAGTAGTCACACGAATAGAACCGATTATTAGAACGAATAGACTCAAACACTGCATCGAATACCGAATAACCGACCATCGAATAACCGGAAGAATCGAATAGTGGTAAC